ATGGGTTCGTGACAAAATTATTTTCACTGCCTTCACTCTCCAAGGGGTTGAGAGACCCAGCTGGGTACATATCGGTGGCCATTGGCGATTCTCGATCACATGGAGATCCGCCGAAATCCAAATAAATGAATTCAAATGAAAACCCGCGTGGTGTGTTAATTCCTCTGTATCTTCAATGCTCCCGTTTCGAACCGCCCGCGGGTCAAAATGGGTCTAAACAATGCAATGGTGCGAGGTCAAGGTCACTATAGAAGATGCATTCGAAACAGCAGTGCTTAATATTACGTCATCAGCTCGTAAAGAAAGAAGGTTGATGAAGAAGGTAGAAAATCAAATGGTCCCATATTCAGCCTTCAAAGAATTGTAGGTCAATTTCTATCTTCATAGAATTTGTGTAACTTGTGCAGTGTTGTGTGAATATTGTTTCCTTTTTCTTTCTTTCGTTCTTTCAATGACGTCATTAGAACAATAACAGAAAAAGTTTTCGTTTATATCAATATGAAGCAAAACATGACAAATGGGGTGAGACTAAATGCTTACTTCGAAATCTAAGCTGCGTTGCGGCATTGGCGGTTATGTGCGGCGTGTATGCCGCATGATTAGTAAGCGGCGACCACTAAATTAAAAACTCAATAGCTTTGACCTGTTTTCAATGGATAACACTGCATACCAAAAATGTCAATCGCTCTCGTCATAGGATATTTAGATTTAAATAACTAACTTATCTACATCATCGTTTTGAACCAAATTAATACTTTCAACTTGACCCTCGCCCCTATTGGTGTTTTTCCAGCCGCGAACGTATAAGGTATAACCCCTTGCCGTTTCGCTCCTGATCAAGCTAGAGCTTGGCGGAAAAAAACGAGCGTGTTGCCCGTGACGAGAGGAAGCCGATGATACCCAATTTTAAGGTCCTAGGTCATCGGTTGACCTTCCAGGTCAGGTCAATGACCCAAAAGGCGGAAAATTGGGACCTGTTAGAACGTCGTAGTGTGGCTGCTATGGGGTTTTCCGGGATGCTGATCACGAATATCATGCTAGTTTTGATCACAGATGATGTCTTCATTCATTTAGGCCAGGTCGGGTCAGGTCAGGTCAGGTCAACCAGTAGAGGTCCTGCCGGGTATTTGTAGTAGGTGTCAACCGCCTCTGACAGCCTCGTAACATGTTACGAAGGCACCAAAACTACTTTGTAAACGTTCATGTGGTTGCTAAATTCGAATTCAGCTCGAAAAACTGGCCTAGAAACATGTCAAACTCGAAAAAGTGAACCGAGGTCACCAAAGGTCAATGACCTGACCTGACCTTCAGGTGACCTTGACACCCACCCTAATGCATGGGGGCAACATCATATCACATGTTTGAACGCTTGAAACCACGAAAAGACTGCAAACGCGCTGCTAATGCGAGCCGACATACGCTGAATCGCGGTTCCGGCCAAACATGGTCTCGAAAAGTAGGTAGGTCACAGGTCAAAGGTTATTTGCGTCAGGGTCATGAAATTTTCAGGGTAGGTGTAAAATTGATCAACGCGAGGGTACTAAACGTTACGTCGTGATCGGCCGCTTTTTACGCGAGTTATTCGCGAAAAACCGAGGGAAGTCCGTTCGACCCCCCCCCCCCCAAAGGGCGAGGGTTAACCCTCGCCCCGTTGGGGGGGGGGGCATTTTGGCCCCCCCCCCCCTGTGGTTTTTCCTGAATAGCAAGAAAACGGCGGCGCGCAGCGCCGCCAAATTTTCAGTACCTTCCCGGGCATCAATTTGACACCTTCACACCAAATTTCAAGTCTTAGGTCACCTTAGGTCAGGAGTTATTGAGGTCAAACTGAGGTCATGTTCGAGCAAAAATGAGCAAAAAACATGCAATCTTGAAACGCTCACCAAATCTACAGTTATCAAGCAATTTCAAAGTTCTTTATATGGTCTAGTAGACAAAAAGCGGCGCTACAAAACTGTTATCTCGGATTTTCAAAATTTTTGGCTTTTGACAAAAAAAAATCAAAAAATTGATTTTTTTAGAAAAACTTTGAAAAAATCCAAAATTTTTCCGAATTTCGAAAAAAACCGGAATATATGTGATAGTCCCAGCGCTCTTCTATATACATACCAAATTTCAGATCGATTTCTCGTTTTTTGGCCAAGTTATAGCGAAAAAAACTGCTCAAAAATGATGACGTCAAATTTTTTAACTCAATTTTTAGCAATTCTAGACCACGTACGGCAAAACAAAGACCACCATTGAACTCCCCGTGACGAGCTGCATCGATTCGATACCCATTTTATGCAAAAATATTAACTTTAAAATTTGACCTAATTTGACCTGACCTTGACCTGACCTTGACCTGACCTTGACCTGACCTTGACCAAAACGTGATCTAAGCTGGCCACAAAGGCTGCCTGACCCATATGATCGCATTTGTCATGTAAAATGGACCATAAAACATGTATCACACGACACTTTCATATTGTGACCCACCCGTGACCTGACCTCTGTGACCTGACCTGGTATCAGTGACCTCAAATAGCAAAATATGTGTTTGAAGAACATTTCCCCATCGATGATTTTCAATGAAATGCATTTTACTCGATTTTACAACGCATTTCTTGAAGTGCCTGTAAACGGTGAAAATTGGACCTTTGACCTGACCTGTGACGTCATCGGTTTGACCTAGGTCAATAAAATTGGGTCACAAGGTAGTTCCCCGTTGGGGCTATCCAACGCCGTTTACCGCTTGTCGCTATGTTGCGTGCCGCGTGGTTCTCGAGATCTTAGGGGGGGGGGGGGGCAAAATGGCCCCCCCAACCGGGCGCGTTGCTCGGCAGAGCCCAACGGGGCGCGGGTTAACTCACAGTCCGAACTCCGAACAAGTTCGGTCTTGTTTGTGAATTTGTCGGAGCATCACCTAAATCTAGTAGAGATGATGGTGGGAAACTAGGCTTTTAAGGAGGGAAGGGAGTCGGTGACGGTCAAGGGCACTACAGGTAGAGCAGTCATAAGCTGGTGACAGGGCTGACATACCATGTTTTGATAGCATGACTGAAACAGACTTTTTGGGTAGCCAGGAAATCGCATGCGAGAGCCTATTGAAATTCTTACATCGGCCTTTATATGCACCAGTCGTATACAGGTGCGGGATTTGGCATACGATTTCCAGACAATCGAAAGACTGTTTGGAGCCAACGAAGGAAGGAATGAGTGAGTACCTACTAAGTTGAAGGCATTAATTTGGTTCAAAATGATGATGCAGTTAACTTAGTTATTTAAATTTAAATATCTTATGACGAGAGTGATTGGCATTTTTGGTATGCAGTGTTATTCATTGAAAACAGGTTTGAGCGTTTAAGTCTTTAATTTAGTGGTCGCCGCTTACTAATCATGCGGCATACACGCCGCACATAACCGCCAATGCCGCAACACAGCTTAGATTTCGAAGTAAGCATTTAGTCTCACCCTGACAAATGTGGCTTGCTTTGCGGTTTGCGATAATAGGGTTTGTTCCCGTCGCTCCTCTAACCTCCTCCAAGCTCCTCTAACCTCCTCTCGTTTCAAAAAATCGTTCCCGTCGCTCCTCCAAGCTCCTCCAAGCTCATCTTGATTTCACATCTCACCACCACTATTTGCCTCCTCCCTCATCCCAAACGAAAGTTGGTTTTTTGGAGGAGGTTCTTGCGTAGACATATTTGGCGCACGTAATACAAATGTGAATTGTTTATAAATGAGATTTGAGGGAAGTGGAAATGATTTTAGTGATTGATGACGATTGCATATCTTTAAACCCTAGAGAAAAAACCATTAGAAACCATTAGGATTTTCTAATGGTTTCTAATGGTTTCTAATGGTCTTGAATGGTCTCTAATGGTTTTTGATGGTCTCTAATGGTATTCTAATGGTTTCTGATGGTTTTCTAATGGAAATTGATGGTGCTCTAATGGTCTCTAATGGTGTCCTAATGGTTTCTGATGGTCTCCAATGGTGTTTGATGGTTTCTAATGGAATTTGATCTGATGGTCTAATGGTCTAATGGTTTCTGATGGTTTTCTAATGGAAATTGATGGCGCTCTTATGGTCTCTAATGGTGTCCTAATGGTTCCTTATGGTATCCAATGGTGCTTGATGGTTTCTAATGGAATTTGATCTGATAGTCTAATGGTCTAATGGTCTCTAATGGTATTGCTATGGTTTCTTATGGTCGCTAATGGTTTCAAATGGTACACTTGGTGGTCTAATGGTTTCCTAATGGTTTTCAATGGTTTTGATGTTGGGCTCCAAACGGGCATTTTTATGGTTTCTAGTGGTTTTCTGAAAACCTTCATTACTTATGATATGATTCTAATGTTGTATAGGTACTACTCTTATGGTGTTCTAATGGTTTTTAATTGTCATGTACCTAATGGCCTTTTTAAAGTCCCTACTGGTCTTTAGACATATGTTTTAAAACCCTAATGGCTAATTGTGTTTTATTATGCAAGGTTTTTAACTTTGCGTAGAGTGGTTACGCGCGAGGACGAAGCAATTCCTCTGTGTGCCAGCATACTTGAGTATACTGCAGTAAACGATTCTTAAATAAGAGCCGAGCTTCCTCTCTTTGTGTTGATCCCCGCACTTATCGGAAGAGGGAGTCAAACGTCCCCCCCCCCCGTTTTTTTCTCACGATAAACTCCCGCAAAAAGCGGCCGATCGCTTTGAAATCGAATCGTACATTCGAATTGACCAATTGTATTCCCCTGAGAATGGCATGACCCTGATCCAAATGACCTTTGACCTGTGAGCTGTGATTTTTTCTCGAGACTATGTTTGGCCGGAATCGCGATTCGGCGTGTAAATTTACACGCCGAATCGCGATTAAGCCGGTACCAAAATAAATTGTTTAACCGTGCATTGGCAACCGTTCAAGCTTAAAGCCAACCGAAATACGACCATGCGCAGGACAATTTTTCGGCTCAGCATGAGGGCCGCTGTTTGCAGTTCGTCCCTCTTACAGAAGAAAGATATATGCACGCGCCTGTATTCATATGTATCATAGGCACGCATAATTGTTCATCAACATGCTCAAACGGACGATTCCAATCGTTCAGAAGTAACAGTTATCGTCCGTTGAACAACACGATGGTGTCTGCACTTGCCAACTTGAAACCAACAAACAGTGACTAGCTGACATTCATGGTGCAAACTCAGACACTTAAACAACACAGCATTAGGTACACCTATGCCAACAGCAACAATATGCAAATTGGTATCCCAATACACCCTACAGATGTCAAGTACCTATGAAAGTAAGCCGATGTGAGCTTACAATTTACATGACTGCTCTTGAGGCTTGAACATCATCAGAGACCACATCGACGTTAGCGAATCGAGTTCAGTCCCCCCAGGCTGTGCTTGGGATTCTGCTTATCGCCAAGTGGTTGGTGTGAAGTGTAACAGCCACACATTTCTCCACCTGGGTTGCCGCTCTGACTGCAACTATATCATCATCGGAGCCTCGCTCCATGATGCGTGTATGCATGGGGTAGTGGCGGGAAGTAGATGAGCCGATTGATTTCAATGGAACTCCAACGAGGAAAAAGATGCGCTCGTTCTCGACAGTCAACTGAATAATGTTCCGTAGTTCTAAGCAAAGTCCTTCGTGAGTCATAATGTAGCAGTCTGAATGTTTGTATTGCCGCTCTGAGACATCCAAGATCATTCCCATATGCAGCATACGTTTGAAGAATGTACCGCCTTCTGGTAGGACAGTCAAACAATTTTGCAATGCGCTTCTGACTGCAGCGCCGAGGTGCCCTGTGGTTCCGCAGCCGAGACCCACAGAAACATGACCAGAGGCAGAACACTGACTGAAAGATTTGTGACCCAAAATCTTTCGGCAAAATGCATTTGTCTGTGGCGATAGTTCAATCGTGTTTAGCATAGCGTCAATCGTTTTGGATACGGAAAAATGATTTAGAATTTGGTTGGCTGCTGATCGGGTCCCGTGAACGTACTTTAAGAGTCGCCCATTCCAGTCTTCAAAGGGAAAGGCAGAGTGAGCCCATAAGGGGCCCCAGCGCTTAACACTCTCCGCCAAATGCAGCAGTTGGTGGACGTTCGAGGTCATTATTTTCGTGCCGTACAAAATTTCGCATGTAACGACATATTCGAAAAGCATCGCCTCTGCCCTTCGCACTTCTTCTGTCATGATTTTATCTTGCAGCAGGATAAAGATAGCGGATGACAGCAAAGAGAAATGCTTCAGGAACTGGCTCTCTATGATACCTGACAAGCACGGAACGGCGTAAAAAAGAAGCCAAGCCCTCCATTCTGACGCCTTCCAATCCTTTCTGGTAGTTATAACCCGTGGAAGGCGTGTGACCACCTTTGGTGGTCTGATCCCCAGCAAGCGGGCATTGATAGCGAGAACGTTTTTCTTTTGACCGATATAATATGCCTCGGCGTGGTTTTTGGTTGAGAACCAGAGTTCTGTCATCATTTTAACAACACCGAGACAGACGCAGTGCATATAATCGGGTACGTAGCCCGACACTAGGTCAAAAGCAGGGAGATTGTAAAGACACGATGGTCCCTTTACACCACGCACTGCATTGCCAGATTCTAAAGCGGCTTTTGCGTCTCTTCGAATTTCTCTGTCCGTCCTAAATGGGCTCTGCACATCTTGGGTGACGTACCGCACCTGATTTTGTAGAAATTTTCCGGGATGCAGACACCAAGAACAGCCATAGAAACCATTAAATCTGATGTGATTTTGCAGTGCTGACCTCCCTAAAGTGTCCGGGCAAGCACATACCGCAAATACTTTCGAAACTATTTGTCTCCCGTCATGCATCCAGCGAACCCCCAATTTTCCCAGCTGATCCATCTCGGTAACAAATGCTCGGAAAAACATCGTCATTGGTACATGTCCAATACCGCACCAAATGCCAGCCAAAATTGGGAGCCTATACCTCATCTTAGGTGCAATTTCGTTGACAAAGGCTGTAATGGGCCATATGGACTTACCATTCGATTTGAAAACGGGACTTCCGTCAGTACTGAATAGCAGCGAGATCATGTGTGAGGTACCCGTTTTTGCCCTGAGTGCCTTGTTCCTGACCCCATCACATATATCTCTGATGATGCCTTCACGACTGCTAGTGAAGCACAAAAAAGATGCATACTTCCTAAGAATTCGCTTGAGCTGCTCTGCGACAGACATAGTTATGAAATAGTTGTTCCCTTTTCCGATTGAGGCGGTACACCACTCCTTACATAATTCACACCACAACTTTCTTTTACGACTGGATCCCTCACTGGTTGTACACAGCAATGTCATGCATGAAGGGCAGAAGAAGTGGAACCGGGCTAGGGATGAGTAGCCTTTAACCATTTTCTGCAGAAGATGTAGCGAACGTGGTACTGCTTCATAGCCAAATAGTGTGTTGATGAGGACCATGAGATCACCGAGCGCGCCCAGATTCAGTCCATGCTTGTAGTAGAAGACTAAGATGAGGAGGATCGCTTCTGCCCTTGTAACAGTGCCAGCTGTAGCGAGTTTTTTGTCTCCATCCTCCAGCCAATCTTCCCAGTCCTGTAATGACAATGCCACAAATGGATGATCAGACAGAGGTGATAGGATTGAAGGAAATGTAGGCGTAAGAACTGGAAACCGACTTGACAGATCGTAGCGCTACGAAATTTTACGCAACTATTTCCACTTAAATTTATGCGTGATGTTCAAGTTTCAAACTCCTATATTTTTTAAGGTCAGGTGACCATGTCACTTTGAATGACTCGATCTCCAATGACTTGTTTTTGCAACTTCGTCGCCGTGTCTGAGCTACAATTATGGCCGAGTTCTAAGGTCCTCTGAAAGTTGCAGAATGTAATAAGACCACTGTTCGCTATGATTTGAATATCTTGCAATTTTGATATCGATGGCCTAAGGTTATGTCAATTTCTTCACCTCTTCATTATGTTAACCTTCGCCCCAGTGGGGGGGGGGGGGGGGCGCATATGTTACCACCCTGTCGCGTTTTTTGCTTTTGGCGCGCCGCTTGGGGTAGCTTTTTGCACATCAATTTTGGACAATGTGTGAAATTTTTTACCCCAGGTCTGAGGTCATGTCAGGTCAGGTCACCAGGTCAAGTTAACTGACCAAGCCTAAAAAAGTTTGCAATCATGTCCAGCCTGCAGTGTTTGTCATAGAGGTTTTAAACTTGGTGGATTGCATGATTTTATGGGTGCCTACAATTTGTATATCTCGGATTTTTTATATGCGTGACCTAAGGTCAGGTCAGTGGCGTGACCTTTCCATTAGGTATAAGTCAATGGAGAAAAACGAAAATGCCTCTAGATCCATGTGTACGCATAGAAACAGTCCAAATATTTCAGAATCACAATGATTTGGGCCACCCGTGACGACCAAGGTGTCTTTTTTGCTTATAGCCTCTAGAAAGGTCATCCGAGGTCATTTGAGGCTACAAACAGCTTTTTGCCAATAACTCTCGATTGGAAAGAGATAGAACGCTGGAGTTGGCCTCATTGTGTTTGTCTTGCCGAGACGCATCGACTGATATGCAACATGACCTTTTCCGGTCAGGTCATGACCTTGACCTGAGGTCAAATTTTGAACTTGACCTTTCAAGGTCAAATTATAGTTCATTCGACGCGTCTCGGCGAGAGGAACACGATTCTGGCAATAAAAATGTCGTGGCTTTTTGTAGTCGAAAGTTATTGTCGAAAAACACTTTTCGTAAAAAACAGCTATTTTTGGAGTTTTTGCCCTCTGGAGGCTAAACCGTTGACCTGAGGTCATCTTTGATGATTACGTTATCAAAAGAAGAGTTCAAAAGCTATCGATTGTTTTCCCAGCGTTCTTCTAGCTATCATAGTTCCTGAGATAATGGCATGTTTTTCTGAAAAATATAATGACAATTCGCAAATTTTGACCTTTGATGACCTCTGGTGACCCCAATATTGCTCTAAGATGAAAATGACCGAATACTTTCAAACGTACGCATCAAGAGCTATTGAGTGCTTTTTACCGCGTCTTTCTAGCCCTCTTAGTTTTTGAGTTAGAGGTGGGTGGTAACATATGCCCCTCCCCCCCTCCACTAGGGCGAAGTTGGCTGAGACCGCCACTGGGGCGCGGGTTAATAGGGGAAAAACAGCTGCCTTATTTTTTAGATGAAACGAATGATTCCATATCTTGCGCCATGGTAGCATACGACTTAACATTAGGCACTCTCCCCCTACGGACAAAAATGAGTGAGTGTTGTAGTAGGGCGCAATGACTGGTAACCGATTAGAATGATAGATGCTTGCTTTCGCCATTCCTAGATGGCGTTAGTGATCCGCGCCTGAAAGTATGCTGTACCGCAAAACAAAAATCGCGAGAGTGAGTGATTGATTGCGATATTGGTTGATTGAGTGATGAGAGAGAGAGAGAGAGAGAGAGAGAGAGAGAGAGAGAGAGAGAGAGAGAGAGAGAGAGGGGGGGAGAGAGAGAGTCGTATGACAAGTGTTCGTTTTTCCTTCTCATAGATGCCGTATAGTGTACCACAATGCGCGAACACATAAAGACGGGTACTAAATTATCTACAAGGCATGAAAGGCGCGGGAGATAGGAAGAGCGAAAGACGGGAGTATCAAAACATAGACGTGACCCACCTCGCTAGCAGAAAACCATTCATCTGTATTGTCTTCATCCTCCGGCAATTCACTCTCCTCTGGGGTAGGAGCGCTGCCATCTTGGACCGTGTCCAGGTGGTCGTCTGATGGCTCCATTCGTGGTGGTTCGGCGTGATCCGATTCATTGTCAATGTCAACGGGAGCATCTTCCACTTCGTCTATGGTTTGTCTGGAAAAGGTATATGTGCATAAACATACCTCGTGTACATAAACATTAACATCGCAGATGCATACATATTTTGTGCATTTCATTAATTTTCCAGTAGGTAGGTACCGTGAATACGTCAAAACCTAATACACCTTTTTGCACTCAAAATAGGCATCTTTTCATTCAATTTCGGCGAATTGCATTCAATTTTAGCGATCTCTCTATTCGAAGCAAATGAGAGATCGCTAAAATTGAATGCAATTCGCCGAAATTGAATGAAAAGATGCCTATTTTGAGTGCAAAAAGGTGTACAATGACAAAAAGTTTCATAACGGGATAAACAACATTACCAAACCAATGTTACCCGCGCCAGGCTGATGCTCAGCGCTAACCGCGCCGGGCCGGGGAGTAGTAAGGTCAAAGGTCAGGTCACCAGAGGTCATCAAAGGTAAAATGTTGACTATTTCAACATTTTCCGAAATGCATTTCAAATGCATTTGAAACTCATTTGATAGCCCTCTTTCTTGGCGCTCTTTCTGTAAAAAGTCCTCAGATTTGACCTCAGCTCAACGGTTTATAGCCTTCCCCTTCAGAGGGCAGAACCGGAAAAATAGACGTTTTTATGAACAATGGTTTTTCTGCAATAATTTTTGACTCAAGAAAGAAGTGACATTTATGTTGCCAGAATCGTGTTCCTTTAGACAAGTCGCGTCCGACCCCAAACGTTATTTTGAAAACTAGGCCTAAGGTCCAGACCGGAAAAGTTAATGCTTCATATCAGTCCATCCGTATCGGCGAGCTGAACGCATCTGAGGTGTTTTCATCGCTCTAGCATGTCTCTGTCAATATGAAATGGTCAAAACCCATTGAAAAACTGCTTGAGACCTTTTATGACCTAAGATGACCTCAGCGACAATATGAGAGGTCACGGGTGCTATTTTCGGTTCATCGTGTCAATTTTACCTTGAACCCGACATTTGAAAGGATTTGGAATGACGTTTGTCCAAAAGAGGCGCTTATCAGTTTTTTCTCCATTGACTTAAAGGGGGTGGTTGCATAACTGACCTGACCTTAGGTCACCGTTATCAAAATTATCACCGTAATCAAAACCGCATGGGGGTGCTCCCCCGGCCCGGCGCGGGTTAATATTCTATGAAATAACACAATAAGCAACATGCTACTAAAAGGTTACTCACCCGCCGACTGTTACGCTGTCATCTTGTTGTTGGTCACTCGGATGGCTTTCAGTTGTGTCTGGTCTCTCATAGCCGGTAACAGAACATCCAGCGCTCGATGACGCTGACAGCCTCCATTTGGTAGCTTTCGGGATGTTGCCCTCAAAATCTGGCTCCAAAAACCTCTTGTACCTTCTGTTATTATTTTCTGCCATACTTAATACGATTTAAAACTGACAAAATGTGATAAAAACTGCGGTGCTTTAAAATGAATCAAAATGCTTATAGTTCTCAGCAAAGCGGCCTAAGCCTCTCGCAACAACGAAAGGTCAACATGGGTCAGCCGTCAACCAGCGTCGTGGTGTGCCATTTCTTTCCATTATTTGGAGAATAACACTCGAGATTTTATTGGTTCCGCGCCTCAAAAAAGCGGCCTCCAGTACAAGGCAATAAAGGTATATAACTTAAACCGTCTTAATGCACGCAAACCATTCAGTTTTTTTACAAATTTGCTAAAAAAAAGTTTCCAATCAGACTACTTCGTGCTCATCAAAATTAATTTATTTTGATTATTATCTTATCTTATTCATTCATGATGCACGTAAGAGTGTCGGGGAAGAAGTATGTAACTTACACTAATCACGAGTTGTGAACTTGTTCAACAAATAGCATCACGTGCATTGTGATAAACGTAATTTTGTTTCGGCTACTCGTACAACATTGCCTAAGCACTCATTCAATAACTGCACTTATTGATCTTATCACTTAAAACTTGCATAGGTATATATTAGTATATTTTTTTTTTTGGTCTTGACCCTTCATTTATATAGGGATGTTTGCATACATATGCTATTTACGCGACAATGTCAAACGAGTCGTCCCGATTAAAGATATAAAAGATTTCCATCCTCGAACCGTCCGCGATTTTGACCCAACGGTCATTGTAAGGGCTTACTGGCGCGGCCTGAAAGACGACATCCCATATGAAGAAGCTCGAAGATACAACGCCCAAGTACTGAAGCTCGGAGGTATGTACCACATTACATTGCGTTATCTATTAATGACAGCATTTATCTATGGCGTGTTCAAATAGGTACCTACAAGATATCTTGGCTCGCTCCGCGTCGCTTTGGCAATCAAAGTATGAGGGAGAAAATTTGGGATCGATTGGTGTTCGTCCCGTGTTAATCGGACGTCTAGAAGCTTAGATATTCACGAAAAACTTGTTGAACTTGCAAAAGTACTTGGTACTTGCTTGGTACTTGCCAAAGTACTCGGTACTTGCCAAAGTACTTGGTACTTGCTTGGTATTTGCATAAGTACTCGGTACTTGCCAAAGTACTTGGTACTTGCTTGGTATTTCCATAAGTACTTGGTACTTGCTTGGTACTTGTAAAAGTACTTGGTACTTGCTTGGTACTTGCGAAAGTACTTGGTACTTGCACTCGCCCCCCCCGTTCCCCCGACTCTACTCCCACACCTACCCCTCGGGATAATTCCGGGTTCGTCGGGTAGGAAAACTTGCCACTCTACTCCCCCCCCCCCCCCCACAGAGCCATTTGGTATCGATCGGTGTTTATCCCGTGTCAATCGGTCGTCAATAAGCCGAGATATGCACGGCGAATTATTTCAATCGGCGTCGATCAGAATCTTCAGAACGGAGGGACCCACACTCATTTCTGGCCGTATCTCACTTTTCCGAGATGTACGTCAAACTACGTATTTAAAACTACATATTCTACAGCCGAATCTTCCAACTGGGGGTACCTCAGACCGTGGGAACGACTCGGCTCAGCACTGCCGCACGCGCATTCAGCGGCGGCTTGTCGATTTTTCGAGTGTCGGCTGCCGATCTCCCGAGAGCCGGCCACCTGTCAGCCGCCGCTCGGCTCTGTGTTAAGCATATGGGGACGGCGAATTTCTCCCGGAGGGAAGCACCTCGCTCACAAAAGCACGTGAATCAGCCGCATTCCTGTGTGGCGCGCAATGCTGAAGAGATATGTGTTTCCGCGGGTATCTCGCAAGCCCTAACAGGAAAAGCTCGCTGCAAAAACTGACCGCTTCAAAAAACCCGAAATCCTACTCAAATGGATATTTAAACCAGAATTGGTAGCGGTAGCACTGGCTTACACCTTCATTAATTTAAATTTAAATGGTTTTTCAGCCTCGAACCTTTTCAGCCCTTTGTTTGCTTAATTATATTATCTATTCCCCGGGGTAGTTCCCAATATGTTTGAATGTAATTAGTAGTTAATGGAAAGTTTCTTTGGCATTCATTTTTGTCATTCAATCGATTCATGATAAGTTTTTATTCAAAATTGTTTTAAGTAGATCAAATTCATTTAAAACATCAATGTTGTGCATTTTTCAGAAACCAGGGAGAGCATCGCAACCACCATAGCGGCAAAAAGAGTGCATCAGCCCAAAATAGTGCCAGCCACCGACGTCACATCCATGTCCAGTGAAGAGGAAACGGATTTCGAACAAGAGGTGAGGAGTAACGTAATTTATGTGCACATTCACTTCCACAAATATATATATATATATATATATATATATATATATATATATATATATATATATATATATATATATATATATATATATATATATATATATATATATATATATATATTAGGGTGGCACTTAGCAATAGGGTGAATTTTATGTTATCCGATTTTTAGGCGTGCGGGTAGTTTTCTGGTTCCATTCCCGTAAAAAATAATGTGTGCAAAATAATTTTGAAAAATATTGATATTTAGGGGTCGCGAATTGAGGTCAAAGTTGGCAGTTTTGGGGAAAAAAATCAACTTTTTGGAAACTACTTTAAACCTATTTGGAATGACATATGTGGTCATTAAGCGTCATATCCGACGTATTTTGACCTTTATTTGTATAACAATTGCTTATCCCATCACTTCCGGTCGATCGTAGCCAGTCCAGGTCACGCCAAGACAGGTCTGATCTGGGCTGTTTTACCCATGTCAGGCCTGTTTTTGGCCTGCGACCGGTGCCTTCTCTCTCACAGTGGAGGTCATATCCTCTTATGAGTGTGAGGAGTGAACGGTCTCTCCTGTTCCAAAGGGAGGACGAGCCCCACAGTTCTATCGGTTCTTGAGACATGCTCCTTTTCTGTCAAAGAGAATGTGAAGAAGTTGGAGCCAGCCTATCGCCGGCGGGGGAAAGCAGAGGCGAGAGTGGGCATTGAGCTGCGCTGGTTTATTGTGCTTTCGGGATGTTCTTCCGTGGGCGCTTCTTCCGACTCTACATAGTGCCAGTGCCAGCAACAGACTTACCCGGCCGTTGCGGCGCGCACACGGAGGGAACGTCTTTGACGATGGCGACCATGAGAGAGAAACGTCGACTCACACTCCCAAGCGCATGCGGGCGAGCGGACGTCCCCAACAGTGAACTGGCCTCGACCGGGCCAAACTGCCCAACCGTAATGTGTGAAGAACACGTGAGCCTGTTATCAACTGCGGCACGGAACTTCTGATACGACTCCGGATGAACCGCGAATCCTGAACCGCGAGAGAAGGAGCGTCGACCGATTCTAGGTCCTGGTGATGGGGGGGGGATTAGGGTGGCCAAGCTCCTCGCCGTTCCCAAACTCCCCTCCATCCAAGCACAGGAGGCCATGCTCACAGCGCTGGGAGGCTAGGAACTGGAGAAGCGGAACTGCGGCCTTTTGCTTCGACGCCACGACGGCGAACAGCATGCTGGTGAACGGTACTTTAGCCCTTATCATTTAGGGCCTTGCCCTTATCGAGCAGAAGCTGGATCGGCCCGTCCTCCAGCTGGCCTGCCGGCACCACGTGTAAGAGCTGGTCCTAGAGAAGGCCTTCTCCACCTGCCGTAGAATCTCGAGCGGCCTCTACATCCGGCTGTTTAAGAGGTTCAAAGGCGGGTGGGAGTTCATGCTTCATTGACAGGATCACACCGGTGGCGTTCGCCGTCGACGACGTTCCGGAGTGGGACAAGCTGCTGGTAAGCTTCCATCGCTTCCATCGCTGGACTATGCCTAGCTCCGGGAAGACTACCGAAAACTTCTGGAGCTCTGCGTAACTGCTCTCGGTGGAGTTCCAAGCACGGCATCCGTTTCTCCGCCTCAGAGTACTCCACTGAGTTAGGTGGATGGCAAAGACCATCCGTACCGTGGATGCCTTCCTCTTCAGGGAGCGGCTCCGGCTGACGGCGGCCGAGGCCCAGGTCATCAGACGCTGTGCGCTGTTCGTTGCCTGCAAGTTCGCCGCCGCCGCCGCCGCCTGGTCTGGGACTCTACTGCCACTGCGCCGGCTCTGGACCTGACCTTCGTGAACTCGTTCTGCACCTACCCCGACAAGGAGCTGTCGAAGGCGACAGTCCCGGTCTTCGGCCGTCACCTGTAGTAATTGAGTGATCGGCTGGTGACTCTGGAGCTTTTAGACCCCGACCCTCGGGCTCAATCAAGACATGGTGCGGGCAATAGACTTGTAGGAGAGGGGACCCGCCCCGTAAGTCCTTAGTGGACACTATGAACGCCGCTCTCGCGACCGAGACGTTGGCGAGCTTCCTCACACCATCGTTCAAAAAGCTCTCAAGGATACACGACCTGGACGCGGGGCTCAATGCTCATCATCAATGACCAAGGCCACTGGGAGGACAGCGGCTACCAAGCCGCAGCTCGTGTAGTCCGGGAGCTGCGGGTGGTGAATGACTTCACCAGGCGCGGTATGGCGCTGATGTAGGACTGGCACTCATGGAAGACAAAGATTAGCGCCAGTTCTTCCTCCATGTCGTTGAAAAGATCACAGAAAACGCTAACCTGACACCCGAAGATCGACTGCAATTGCTAACCAGGCTACACACAAAGTGATCTGGGTGCCCGTTGCCCATGATACCCCTCCCTCCAATGAGGCGCCAATAATCTACTAAAGAGGAGGAACTGGAGTAGTGGAGTACATATACCAGCGTTCTGGCGTGGCCGAAGCTGCATGGAATATCAATAAACAATATGAAAATGACTAAGAAATGCCTTATTATCATCCGATTATAGCGTAATAGGAAACTCAGAAGCGATTTTAATGATATTGAAATATGCTACCAAAATCTCAATTTTTACCTTGATTCGCGACCTCTAAACATCAATATTTTCCCATAAAAATTTGCCTCCCTTATTTTTTACGGGAATGGAACCGGAAAACCACCCGCACGCATTAAAAATCAAAAATTGATTTTTAAGTGCCACCCTAATATATATATATATATATATATATATATATATATATATATATATATATATATATATATATATATATATATATATTTTTGTGAAGTTAGGGAGCAGTCCATCTTCAATACTTTTTTTGTCAAACACGATAGCGTAATGAGCGTTAGTGATCTTCTTGTGGTTTTGCTCGATACTTCGCACTATGCTTTTCGTATCCGGGTCAAGTTGACTCAGCACCTCTTCAGAAGTCGACATTTTATTCCAACGTTTCGTCAAACTTATGACATTATCAAGGAGCAAAATGATGAGTGATACAATGATGATGTTGATATGATACATTGCAGTTCGGTCGATACTAGTGATCGGGTGATCGGGTCGGCCCAGTAGTTTCCAAAGTAGCAGGGGTCACTCTGTAGGCCCCCACCCCCTTCCCACCAGCCGCGTTGTGGGAAATACCTCTGTCATGCGGGGGTTAAGATTGTTTTGCACTCACAGACACAAAAGCCAGCGAGCACAAGGACTCCCGCTCAAGACGCCGAAAGACAACGTCTGAGAGACATAGTGAACCGACACCACGCCAACGCTATGGACGGAAGTCCAGACAACGATGCAGACACGTCATGTGGAGAACCATCCGCAAGATCCGAAACTGTTTATCGGGAAGTAGTGGAGCAGAGGGACAGGTAAGCCCAGCGATGAGAAAAGTCCGTATGCGGCATGCGTGTATCATGCCAGCAATGTTTTTTTTTTTCTTTAACCTTTGATGACCTCGGTCCACTTTTTCGAGTTTTACATTTTTCTAGGCTAGTCTTTGGAGCTGAATTCGAATTTAGCAACCATTTGAACATTTACGAAGTAGTGTTGGTGTCTTCGTAACATATGTCACAAAGCAGTCAGAGGCGGTTGACACCTACTACGAATGCCCCTACTGGTTGATCTGACCTGACCTGATCCGACCTGGCCTAAATGCATGAAGACAGCATTTGTGATCAAAACTAACATGATATTCGTGATCAGCATCCCGAAAAACCTAATGGTAGCCAGCGTTCGAACAGGTACTGATTCTCCCGACTTTTGGGTCATTGACCTGACCTGAAAGGTCAACCAATGACCTGGGACCTAAAAATTTGGTATCATCGGCTTCCTCTTGTCACGGGCAACACGCTCGTTTTTTCCGCGAAGCTCTAGCTCGATCAGGGGCCAAACGACAAGGGCGGTCTCCCCCCCCCATTTTTCAGAAACCAGGTATCCCCCCCGTATACGTTTGCGGCTGGTGGTTTAAAACACGCTTGCGCAAGGCACGGCATCCACAAAATTTACTGACTGATGATTTTGCAATAAATGCACCGGAAATCATGTAATAGCTACATATGACTTAAACCATACTGCATATCCCGAGCAAATCGACAATTTTTTTCAAAGGTACAAAACCAGGTGTGACGACCTGCAAAAGCAGCTGAGCGAGACCAAATCAGCTCTGTCAGAGCTGGAAGGCGAGCTGGAGGACACGAAAAAGGAGATGAAGATGCTTCGTCTCCTCAATGCAAAATATCAAGTTCGGATAGTCAAAGCTGTCGAGACGCAGATGCGATGTAAGCAGACAACATTTTTGAACACAAAAAACTAATTAACAAATAACAATACCGTTTATTCATAACGGGACAATGATTAAGAAATTCGATAATGATGAATAAGTAAAGAGACATCACTCACATCTGTGATGAAGATTAGAAGCTGTCTTCAACTTGCCTTTAACTGATCCTTTGTTTATTTCAGGCATTCAGGAGCAGCCCAGCCGGTCAAGCGCCAGCAACGGGGGTGGGTGCGCGCCGCAACGGTGCGAAAGCGGTAAAAGCAGTTCGACCCCCCAGCCACGCCCGTGTCGCCCGGAAAATCCACCACGACCACTTTCCCAGCCTGAGGTAAGAGCCGTTTTTAGATACGAAAATGCTTCAATTTTCTTTCAAATGGACACTTGTAGAATGGTCCAATGCATTAACAGATGAATGCTGTGTGAGGGGGCGGGCGATCGTTAAATTATTGCCCGATGTGAGATCACTGTAGAGTGTAGCGTAGCCCGAGGGTGACTGAACACCGAAACATACTTTGCTTGTTGAGGCAATAATGCACGTGTTGACCATTGAAACTTAATGTAGTAAGGTCACTTGACCAGACCTGGCGACCTGACCTTAAGTGAGATGGATTTTCATAACACGTGCAGAAAAGATGTATGATAAGGTGTGCCAAAAACCACAAGGGAGGATGTTCAAACCCCTCCCCTTTCCCCCTCCCCAGCTGAGGAGGGCGCAGGTTAACCCGCGCATGACTTGGGTTTTATTTTACATTATGCGGCTGACTGGGGCTACGTTATTACTAGGCCGAGCGTCAAAATTCACACGGCGTCTGATAGCCCTGGACAAACTGTTGAACGAAATCTAATTTCATTAACCTAGAGGTTATCGATGATGTCACAGGTCAGGTCAAGGGAAACATTATCAACATTTTGGTCATGGTGCCGTCATTCTTATTCCAGCACCTTTTTGCAGCTATTCAGCACAGAGGAGCAGCCGGGCCCAGCCGGTGATCCGGGGAGCCCGGTAAGCATAAGACCGGATGTGTTGGAAACCATTCGAGGCCAGCGCACGGCTTCGCTGATGGTAAAAAATATGGCTGTCGCTCTCTGGGGCACGGAGGGCCTCGCCAACCGGTCCGTTACCGGGTCAGCCTCCAACCGGACTCAAGGGCGTGAGCCAAAACAGAGGCTCACCCCCAAGAAACTTGAGGCTATCAAAAGTAAGTAATATATAGGTAGTGGTCAAGTATTGCATGCACTACTGTACGACTCGCTGCATCAATTTACATGCATTTTGACTCACCAAGCATTGCACACCGTTTCCTGTAGAATGCTATGAGACACGAGCATTCGATCATTAAGGTTATAGGCAGTAAGGAAAGCACGCATAAAATTTCTATCAATAATGCGTACAATACTAATACGTACTAGTGCTCTTTTTATAGAAGATTAAATTAACATATGAATTAAATAATGAAAAGCATAAAAAGTAAAAAAAGATGTAACTCAACTAACAATAAGTAAAAGACATCCATGTCAATGTCAATGTGCACTTTTGCTACAGGTGAACTACGGTCACAAATGACCAAGCGGGGTGCCGACGATGCGGAGGTACAGAACACCCTCAAAAAGGTCCCGCGCTTCATCAACGAAAAAATTCAGGATATCCGTCGGAAAACCAAGACGACGCAGCAGGACTGATTGTGACAAAAAGGCGACCGTGTGACCCGCACACACGCCTTCCTTAGAGGCAAAAGGCCCCCGCCCTACCCCATCCGGGCTAACCCGTGCCCGGCCCCCTCCAGCATGTGCTGGGCGGGCCGGGCCGCCGGCCCGTCGCGCGGACCGCCTGTGGCTCGCGCTGAACGGGTCGGTGGTCAGGGGGCGCCGCCTCGCAAGTATAGTGGCACTTTAGTCGCACTCAGGTGCGAGGCGGCGCGGGCGGGGGCAGAGGTGGTGCCAGCAAGAGCCACTTGTATATATACTACGTGAATTATAAATGAAGGAATAGCTTATGCACCTGTGTTGTTCTGATGTGAAATAACCATTTTCTGTAAAATAGTAATACATTATTTGCTCCTTTTAAGAACATGTTTCAACTGTTTTCTGATGGTACGCACACCATAAGAAACCTTTAGACCATAAGAAACCATTAGACCATAAGAAACCATTAGACCATAAGAAACCATTAGACCATAAGAAACCATTAGACCATAAGAAACCATTAGACCATGAGAAACCATTAGACCATGAGAAACCATTAGACCATAAGAAACCATTAGACCATAAGAAACCATTAGACCATAAGAAACCATTAGACCATTAGACCATCAAGCCATTAGACCATTAGGCCATCAAACCATTAGACCATTAGAGCATCAAACCATTAGACCACTACACCACCATACCATTAGACCATTAGACCATTAGGGTTTCAATTTCCATATAGACCATTAGACCATTAGACCATCGCTAATGGTTTTTTCTCTAGGGAATAGCAATGTTTGATATTAATCTAAGGTTATTTTATTCGAAAACGATTATTATCTCTTGATTTATGTTTGCGCGCCATAAATCGCCGACCGTTACAGCCCGCAAACAGCTGATTTCCTCGCGAAAATGTTCCCGTGGCTCCTCTGAAACGGCTATGTAACGGAAGTTAGCAGGGATTCAGCAGGGGTTCAGCAGGGATTCAGCAGGGATCGACGGCCCCTACGATTTCGCTGAATTTTGGTGGATAGGTGCAGAATGGTGTCCTCTATCGAAAATCCTAGTGCCAAAATGCGGGGAATCCATCAGGGGGGCCACAAATCCCAAAAAACAGTATGCCCTCAGGGCACAATCGACGAACTTTGAAAACCCTACTTCTAGCCGTCAAAACAGCTAAAAATGCACGTCATTCGAAAGAGGACAAAATTTTACGTGCAACGGTACCAAATTTAGGGGGCTAGCGCCCCCTGAACCGAACATAACAGCTTCAAATATATGGGCCCGGGAGTATGCCCTCGGGGCATAAATAAACGTTTGCAACAATTTCAGGCCTATAACATCGACAAAATCCAGCAATATGCACATCATTGGAAAGAGCGTAATTTCCCAAACAAAAAACCCAAGTAACATTTTTCGATGGGGCCCACCTGGGGCCCACGGGACCCAATTGAAATTTGGGGCCCAATGGGGCGGCCCCTACGATTTTCTTCAAAATTTGCACAGACACTCTCCTGGGCCCCCTCTTCAATCTGGCTGAAGAAACCTACCGGGGAATCCAAAGGAAGGGGCCCAAAGAGGGCCCCAAAGAGGCCCTTTCTAAGTATTGCCCCTAATTTCGCGACCAACCCCGGCAATATGCACATCATTGGAAAGAGCGTAATTTCCCAAACAAAAAACCCAAGTAACATTTTTCGATGGGGCCCACCTGGGGCCCACGGGACCCAATTGAAATTTGGGGCCCAATGGGGCGGCCCCTACGATTTTCTTCAAAATTTGCACAGACACTCTCCTGGGCCCCCTCTTCAATCTGGCTGAAGAAACCTACCGGGGAATCCAAAGGAAGGGGCCCAAAGAGGGCCCCAAAGAGGCCCTTTCTAAGTATTGCCCCTAATTTCGCGACCAACCCCGGCAATATGCACATCATTGGAAAGAGCGTAATTTCCCAAACAAAAAACCCAAGTAACATTTTTCGATGGGGCCCACCTGGGGCCCACGGGACCCAATTGAAATTTGGGGCCCAATGGGGCGGCCCCTACGATTTTCTTCAAAATTTGCGCAGACACTCTCCTGGGCCCCCTCTTCAATCTGGCTGAAGAAACCTACCGGGGAATCCAAAGGAAGATGCCCAAAGAGGGCCCCAAAGAGGCCCTTTCTAAGTATTGCCCCTAATTTCGCGACCAACCCCGGCAATATGATCATCATTGGAAAGAGCGTAATTTCCCAAACAAAAAACCCAAGTAACATTTTTCGATGGGGCCCACCTGGGGCCCACGGGACCCAATTGAAATTTGGTGCCCAATTGGGCGGCCCCTACGATTTTCTTCAAAATTTGCACAGACACTCTCCTGGGCCCCCTCTTCAATCTGGCTGAAGAAACCTACCGGGGAATCCAAAGGAAGGGGCCCAAAGAGGGCCCCAAAGAGGCCCTTTCTAAGTATTGCCCCTAATTTCGCGACCAACCCCGGCAATATGCACATCATTGGAAAGAGCGTAATTTCCCAAACAAAAAACCCAAGTAACATTTTTCGATGGGGCCCACCTGGGGCCCACGGGACCCAATTGAAATTTGGGGCCCAATGGGGCGGCCCCTACGATTTTCTTCAAAATTTGCGCAGACACTCTCCTGGGCCCCCTCTTCAATCTGGCTGAAGAAACGTACCGGGGAATCCAAAGGAAGGGGCCCAAAGAGGGCCCCAAAGAGGCCCTTTCTAAGTATTGCCCCTAATTTCGCGACCAACCCCGGCAATATGCACATCATTGGAAAGAGCGTAATTTCCCAAACAAAAAACCCAAGTAACATTTTTCGATGGGGCCCACCTGGTGCCCACGGGACCCAATTGAAATTTGGGGCCCAATGGGGCGGCCCCTACGATTTTCTTCAAAATTTGCACAGACACTCTCCTGGGCCCCCTCTTCAATCTGGCTGAAGAAACCTACCGGGGAATCCAAAGGAAGGGGCCCAAAGAGGGCCCCAAAGAGGCCCTTTCTAAGTATTGCCCCTAATTTCGCGACCAACCCCGGCAATATGCACATCATTGGAAAGAGCGTAATTTCCCAAACAAAAAACCCAAGTAACATTTTTCGATGGGGCCCACCTGGGGCCCACGGGACCCAATTGAAATTTGGGGCCCAATAGGGCGGCCCCTACGATTTTCTTCAAAATTTGCACAGACACTCTCCTGGGCCCCCTCTTCAATCTGGCTGAAGAAACCTACCGGGGAATCCAAAGGAAGGGGCCCAAAGAGGGCCCCAAAGAGGCCCTTTCTAAGTATTGCCCCTAATTTCGCGACCAACCCCAGCAATATGCACATCATTGGAAAGAGCGTAATTTCCCAAACAAAAAATCCAGGTAACATTTTTCGATGGGGCCCACCTGGGGCCCACGGGACCCAATTGAAATTTGGGGCCCAATGGGGCGGCCCCTACGATTTTCTTCAAAATTTGCACAGACACTCTCCTGGGCCCCCTCTTCAATCTGGCTGAAGAAACCTACCGGGGAATCCAAAGGAAGGGGCCCAAAGAGGGCCCCAAAGAGGCCCTTTCTAAGTATTGCCCCTAATTTCGCGACCAACCCCGGCAATATGCACATCATTGGAAAGAGCGTAATTTCCCAAACAAAAAACACAAGTAACATTTTTCGATGGGGCCCACCTGGGGCCCACGGGACCCAATTGAAATTTGGGTTCCAATGGGGCGGCCCCTACGATTTTCTTCAAAATTTGCACAGACACTCTCCTGGGCCCCCTCTTCAATCTGGCTGAAGAAACCTACCGGGGAATCCAAAGGAAGGGGCCCAAAGAGGGCCCCAAAGAGGCCCTTTCTAAGTATTGCCCCTAATTTCGCGACCAACCCCGGCAATATGCACATCATTGGAAAGAGCATAATTTCCCAAACAAAAAACCCAAGTAACATTTTTCGATGGGGCCCACCTGGGGCCCACGGGACCCAATTGAAATTTGGGGCCCAATGGGGCGGCCCTACGATTTTCTTCAAAATTTGCACAGACACTCTCCTGGGCCCCCTCTTCAATCTGGCTGAAGAAACCTACCGGGGAATCCAAAGGAAGGGGCCCAAAGAGGGCCCCAAAGAGGCCCTTTCTAAGTATTGCCCCTAATTTCGCGACCAACCCCGGCAATATGCACATCATTGGAAAGAGCGTAATTTCCCAAACAAAAAACCCAAGTAACATTTTTCGATGGGGCCCACCTGGGGCCCACGGGACCCAATTGAAATTTGGGGCCGAATGGGGCGGCCCCTACGATTTTCTTCAAAATCTGCATAGACACTCTCCTGGGCCCCCTCTTCAATCTGGCTGAAGAAACCTACCGGGGAATCCAAAGGAAGGGGCCCAAAGAGGGCCCCAAAGAGGCCCTTTCTAAGTATTGCCCCTAATTTCGCAACCAACCCCGGCAATATGCACATCATTGGAAAGAGCGTAATTTCCCAAACAAAAAACCCAAGTAACATTTTTCGATGGGGCCCACCTGGGGCCCACGGGACCCAATTGAAATTTGGGGCCCAATGGGGCGGCCCCTACGATTTTCTTCAAAATTTGCACAGACACTCTCCTGGGCCCCCTCTTCAATCTGGCTGAAGAAAACTACCGGGGAATCCAAAGGAAGGGGCCCTCTTTGGGCCCCTTCGCGAAATTAGGGGCAATACTTATAAAGGGCCTCTTTGGGGCCCTCTTTGGGCCCCTTCCTTTGGATTCCCCGGTAGGTTTCTTCAGCCAGATTGAAGAGGGGGCCCAGGTGAGTGTCTGTGCAAATTTTGAAGAAAATCGTAGGGGCCGCCCCATTGGGCCCCAAATTTCAATTGGGTCCCGTGGGCCCCAGGTGGGCCCCATCGAAAAATGTTACTTGGGTTTTTTGTTTGGGAAATTACGCTCTTTCCAATGATGTGCATATTGCCGGGGTTGGTCGCGAAATTAGGGGCAATACTTAGAAAGGGCCTCTTTGGGGCCCTCTTTGGGCCCCTTCCTTTGGATTCCCCGGTAGGTTTCTTCAGCCAGATTGAAGAGGGGGCCCAGGAGAGTGTCTGTGCAGATTTTGAAGAAAATCGTAGGGGCCGCCCCATTGGGCCCCAAATTTCAATTGGGTCCCGTGGGCCCCAGGTGGGCCCCATCGAAAAATGTTACTTGGGTTTTTTGTTTGGGAAATTACGCTCTTTCCAATGATGTGCATATTGCCGGGGTTGGTCGCGAAATTAGGGGCAATACTTAGAAAGGGCCTCTTTGGGGCCCTCTCTGGGCCCCTTCCTTTGGATTCCCCGGTAGGTTTCTTCAGCCAGATTGAAGAGGGGGCCCAGGAGAGTGTCTGTGCAAATTTTGAAGAAAATCGTAGGGGCCGCCCCATTGGGCCCCAAATTTCAATTGGG